TTCCTTCAGAAGCTAGGCAAGAATCCTTCCTGGCATTCGGAAAACGAAGAGTGGAACAGGCGAGCAAGTGTGCAGGTGTGCGTCATATGAGAGGCCCCGCCTTACATTTTCCGCCACAGATTTAGGGAAATTGGTCCGTGCGCAAAGAATTGTGGGGATTTGAAGGACGCGAAGTCTACACATGTGCAGCCTCGAAATTACCCCCAAACCAAGGACGCGGCCTCGGTGGAATTCCAAGTATGCTGGAGATTGGAACAGTCCTTCGGCGGCACTCGATGACGTAGCATCCTTGAAATATTGGCTTGGAAGCCAGTTTCCTCGAGATTGAGAAACGGCCAGAGAGCGAGAGAGGGGGGAGAGAGGAAAAGAGAGCGCTTCCGCTCATTTCTCCCGTGTTATTATCCAAAGTTAATGTAAACTTGCATAATGTACTTCATTTGAATGTAATAATTATGTTGGTTGTTGTTTCTGGAAGCGCCAGTGAATGAGAGTTTTAAACATCACTTTAAATGGAAGATCCCCATAGGCCCCGCCCACTCGATCGGATCGGTATCGGCCCCAAAATTGGCGATCGGAGCATCCCTATTGGGAAGTTAGCTCAATATGTTTTTTATTTATTTAATTCACTAACTCAACTCTGCTTTTCCTCACAGTTTTGTATGTGACGGCTGCTTAAAGAAGACAAACAAGACGAGGAAGGAGAACAAGTATTCGGCCAAAAGTAAGTGTGGTTCTGGTCTATAAAACGGCCATCTTTTAGACATTTGATTTAATCAGTTTCTTGTTATTATTTTTGGGGCGAGATGATGTATCTCCTATCTTTATCTCAGAATGACCCATATTTTCTTTCTCATGGTAATGGCATTTTTGTATGAGGCCGCTAGAAATATGCTTTTATCGGGAAAACAGCTTTTTATATTCTGTGATAATGACAGTTAATTTGCTGGTGAGCTTTAACACTAGAACCGCCAAAGGGTCAATTTTACCCGCAGCTGTTTTTTGATTGTGTGTAACTTTTTTTCAACAACATATTGAAGTCTCCCAGTGAGTGACTTTTCCTGAAAGTGTGTTAGGTAGCACCCGCTGTTGTTAATAATGGTCAATATGAAGTCAGATTGAAAAAATCGCAAAAAGAAAATCCGTTTATACCTATATCCGCCAGCGGGTAATATTTACCTCATAGAAAATGCAGCGTAAACATGACGTGTTGCCATAGCGACGCCTTTTGTCTACTCCGGTTCCAGACAGAAAGACAGACAGACAGACAGCGTTTAAATCAGCACTGGTGGCGATATTTTCTACTTCATGCTATCTGCACTTGGTATAAGTTTCATCCCTGTGCGATCAAAACTCACTGTTCTACATGATAAATAAAAGAACATTGTACCTTGAAAATCAATAGCGGGTACATTTGACCCGTTGGCGGTTTTAGGTATACGGCGACCTCTGGCGGTTCTAATGTTAAGAGAATCTGTTTCATAAAAAAACAATTTTAAAAAGGAGTAAATGTAGAACTTTTTTAACAAGAAAGGCATTTAATGCTTTTATACTAAACCATTTTAGCATGATTTCAATTGTAATGCTTGGAGGTATCACATTGAACCAATTCAAATGACACCTCTGTCGCACATTATCCTGCCACCAAATGAATGTCACAAGTACACACACAAACATACTTTGATTTCTTCCAAGTCAGGTTTTTTGTAGCTTTGTTTTCTCCCTGCATGTTTAAGCATCAGTGAAGTGATTTCTTTCCTCTTCTCTTCGCAGGGTTGCCTCAGACGAAGCTTGGCAGCCACCTGGAGAACAGAGTGAACGACTATCTGAAGAGGCACTGCTACACGGAGGCCGGAGAAGTTCACATTCGAGTCGTTCACGTCTCCGACAAAGTGGTGGAGGTCAAACCAGGCATGAAGTCCAGGTACAGAACCAGACACATTCAAACCAAATCTAAAACGCCCCAAAAATGTGATGCCATGAGTACATTTGTGTTTTCACAAGAGTTTTGAGGATTTCCAAAAATCGGATTGTCTAATGTTCAGCTTTAGAGCTAATTATCTCACCACACAGTGCTCTAAGGGGAGTGACTTGCATTTCTAGCAAGACCAGAGAATGTCCTGAACATTTTGATATGTAACACATGGGGTGCCATGTTCTAACAAATACATTTAAAAGTTGATTTAAGGAGACATCTAAAAATCGAGAGAATACACTTAGACTCCAGAAGCTCTAATTTGCTTACAACCACATTAACGTATCAAATAGAAACACTGATGTTTAGTCTTTCCACAATTTATTTAGATATTTAACCACATCAAAAACAGCCCTATATTCATATGATATACAAACATATAATGATAATAATGAAGCTTTATTTATATAGCACTTTGCATTTAACACCTGCAGCTCAAAGTGCTTTACAAAATGACACATCACAAGTTAAAAACAAACAAGAAATTCCCCTCTGATTATTTGTTAAGAACCTGTTAACCTGTTTGTTTTTTTCACGAAACTGTGTCTCAGGGCTTCTTAACATTTCTGAAACTATTAATGTTCCATACTCACTTAACGGGAAGAAACTCAGCTACCTGACGATACGAACAATTTTTACCGAAACAGAACACAAGTCTCACAAGAAGCATCTAAATGAGCCCTTAGCACTTAGCACAGAACTCACAGCTTAAATATCCTTATTACTTATCGTATCTGCACAAACAAGATATCGATTAGCAAGGTGAGATT